GTGAAGGCTTCTCTGGCACCGGCCACATGGGCCGCTTACAGTAAGGTGTGGGGTTCGTGGGAACGATCTTGGGCTGGGCCGGATTGCGTGCCGGAAGGGGAATCGCTCCGGGACGCGTTTCTGTGGTACACCTGTCAATTGCTGGCAAAAGGGGCCTCCCCGGCAGTGGTTGACAGGTCCATGGCAGCGATGGCTTTCTGGTTTAAGCTTCATGGGAAGGAGGACGTTACCAAGTCCTTCGTCATCAGGCAGGCGCTTAAGGGTTATCGGAAGGGGCGCAGGTTTCCAGACACTAGGCGCCCGGTGTCGGTGCGGGTGTTGGGGGATCTGGTTAGTGGGCTGCCTGGAATTTGCTTTGATGAGTTTGAGGTGTCCCTGTTTCGGACAGCGTTTCTGTTGGCTTTCTTCGGGGCTTTCCGGATTAGCGAGTTGGTGAGTGCCAATCGGGTAGCGGCCGGGGGCCTACAGGTCTCCGGGGTTCGGCTGCAAGGGGGGAAATTGGTGGTTCACCTGGCCGAATCTAAGACGGATTCACGGGGGGTGGGCCGTGATGTGACACTTCAGGCCCTGCCGGGCTCTGTTCTGTGCCCGGTAGCCTCGGTGGCAGAGTATTTGGTCCGGAGGCCGACGGTTGGGGGATCCCTCCTGGTGCACGCAGATGGGTCTTCCCTCTCCCGATTTCAATTTATTAAGGTTTTTCGGTGGGGCCTGGGAAAAATGGGGTTACGGGTGGATAGCTTTGGTACGCATTCCTTTCGCATCGGGGCGGCCACGGAAGCCGCAAGGTTGGGTCTGGGGGATGACGTAGTTAAACGAATTGGCAGGTGGGAGTCAGTACGGTTCCGGTCGTACGTGCGGTTGGGGTTGTTAGAATGATATGTCGGGCCTTTTTTCGGGGGTTCCCGGAGGGCGATAAGGGGGTGTTGTTACAATCTGTTTTTTCTCTCTTCCCCAGGCTACGTTGCATGGATCGTGGGCCATTCCTTTGTTTTCTGGGCCGAAAGGAGAGCCGCAGCTCGAGCTCAGGGCCAGCAGCTGGGCTTTTCAAGGGACCAGTTGGTGGTGCAATGGTTCGGGTATAGGGGTTTTTGCTGGGGGGGAGTTTGCCGGGAAGTGTTCCGGATGGTGGCAGGCGGGCGGGGCCAGACCTGCTGGTGCTACATGCGGGGGGCAATGACTTGGGCCTAACACCGCAACGGAGGTTGGTGAAGTGGATGAAGCAGGACCTCAACAAATTGAGGGACCTGCTTCCGGGAGTAATGTTAGTATGGTCAGAGATTATCCCGAGGAGGCGGTGGCGGCACGCGAGGGACCCGGTGGCCATCGACAAGTGTAGAAAGAAGGTGAATAGCTTGATGGCAAGCTTCGTAAGGAAGTTGGGGGGGGTGGTAGTGCGGCACAGCGAGTTGGAAGGCGGGTTGCCGGGGTACTACCACTCAGATGGCGTTCATCTTTCGGCAGTGGGATGTGACCTGCTGAACCTGGGTTGGCAAGACGGAATAACCAAGGCGCTATTTCTTCAGGGTGGCGGAGCTCAGACGGCTTAAGGGGTCAAGGTCTGAGCTTGTGGCGGGATAGGGAGCTGAAGGAGAAGGAATAGGCTCCCTAGGATGAACGTGACAGATATGGAAAACTGTGGTCATTGGTGGTTGGTAGGTTTCGAGTCCTGTCGGTGGCTCAGAACCTGGTGGGGTAGGGGTATCCGGGTATACCCCTGCCATGGTTAAATTTATGTTGGCACTTTAAGTTGGTATGTTGGAATAATGTTGGTATATGTTATATATATGTGTTATTTATATGGGGGTCATTGCCTTTTATATTAACAGAAGGAATCGGATGCGAGGGCGGAGTATGGGGGCAATGACCCATGTTATTTGTTAAATTATTACTATTATTATGTTATGTTGAATATATGGTTATTATTATTCAGATTGTTTAATAAAGCTGTGGACAAATTTTCCCATATACCCGAGTGTCAGTGCATTATTGGGTTAGGTATGTGGGAGGGTTGTCCTGGAGTCCGACTGCCCATATGGCGACTATACACCGGTCATGTGACCTTTATGGGCAAAGCAACACAGTCCTCTAGGGTAACAGGTATGGAACAACAGTCTCTTATGCAAAAAAAAAAAAGGTGCATTTTATTTACATTGTGCACAAATATCCATGCAGCGATCAGTTTGTTCAAAACAGAAAGGAAAATCTACAAACAAAGTCCTAGCTCAAATTCAAGCACTTACTAAACATAAAGTAATGTCCCTTACTAAACCAGGGTGATAATCTAAACAAATCAACAAAATAAACATCGGTTTCATCAACCTTTCGCACTTTTTCTGGTGCTGCTCTCTGCAGGTCAGATTGTATCTCCTCCCTTTCTGCTCTTAGACCTCCTAATTGGGCAGGTGAATGAGTACAGGCTATGGGGGATTCTGGGTCCTAAATACCTTCCTTCTATTACCCTCCCATAGACTCTGTCAACGTGACCCATAGGTTGAGGTGACCGTGGCGCTGTAGGTGGAAGTGGCGGTGGAGGAGGAGGTAGCCAACACTTTTTTATATATATATATATATATATATATATTTTAATTGGGGTAGCCCCCGAAATATTGGGACATATAAAAAAAGAAAACTCTGTTCCGCAGCGCGACTGACCCGTGCGTGCTGCAGGTGAAACTCTACTATCGCCTTCTGCTGCTCGCACAGTCTCATGAGGCGGTGAGTGGGAAGGCCGAAGTTAAGCTGCAGCGCAGACAGGCGAGCAACAGCAAGGTGAGAACGCTGAAAGCGCGGACAGACGGCCCGCACTTTCTGCAGCAGCTCGGATATATCTGGGTATACACCGTGGCGGTGTAGGTGGAAGCAACGGTGGAGGAGGAGGTAGCCAACACTGTTTTTTTATTTGTTTGGTTTTATTTATTTTATTGGGGTAGCCCCCAAACTATTGGGACATATAAACAAAGAAAACAAAAAATAATTGCACTTAAGTATAACAATGGGTGTGTGAGACTGGTATAAATGTCTATTCTGCACAAGGTACAGACAAGTCTGGTGGGATCTGTGCCTGGTTCATTTTAATAAACGTGAGCTTGTCCACATTGGCGGTGGAGAGGCGGCTGGGCTTGTCTGTGATAACGCCCCCTGCCGTGCTAAACACACGTTCAGACAATATACTGGCTGCAGGGCAGGCCAGCACCTCCAATGCATAAAGGGCAAGCTCAGACCATGTGCCCAATTTGGAGACCCGGAAGTTGAATGGGGCAGACCCATCAGTCAGTACGTGTAGGCGTGTGCACACGTACTGTTCCACCATGTTGCTGAAATGCTGCCTCCTGTTCCATATCAGATGGTGGTGCTGGTTGTTGTGTCGTGCTGACAAAGCTTTTCCACATTTCGGCCATGCTAACCCTGCCTTCTGAGGTGCTGGTGGTGCCCCAGCTGCGTTGGCGACCTCCTCCTCTGCCTTCGCCTTGTGCTTCCACTGAGCCCCCGTGTCAGTTGGGAATGCCCTCAGCAGCGCATCTACCAGCGTGCGCTTGTAGTCACGCATCTTCCGATCACGCTCCAGTGAGGGTATTAAGGACGGCTGGTTGTCCTTGTAACAGGGATCCAGCAGGGTGGCCACCCAGTAATCAGCACAAGTTAGAATGTGGGCAACTCGGCAGTCATTGCGCAGGCACTGCAGCATGTAGTCGCTCATGTGTGCCAGGTTGCCCAGAGGCAAGGCCAAGCTGTTCTCTGTGGGAAGTGTATCGTCTGTGTCCTCCGTATCCCCCCAGCCACGCACCAGTGATGCCCACGAGCTGTGTTGGGTGCCACCTTGCTGTTAACACGGTTCCTCCTCCTCGTCCTCCAGAACTGTGCCCTGGCTGGACAATTGTGTACCTGGCCTATGCTAGTGCAGGAACCCACCCTCCAAGCCACTTGTGAATGACTGGCCTGATAACCGTGGCCAACCCCTCTTCCTCCTCCTCCTCTTGCTCCTGTGCCACATCCTCTTGCATCATCGCCCGAAGCGTTTTTTCAAGGAGACATAGAAGCGGGATAGTAAGGCTGAGAACAGTGTCATTGGCACTGGCCATGTTGGTGGAGTACTCGAAACAGTGCAAAATGGCACACAGGTCTCGCATGGAGGCCCACTCATTGGTGGTGAAGTGGTGCTGTTCCGCAGAGCGACTGACCCGTGCGTGCTGCATCTGAAACTCCACTATCGTCTGCTGCTGCTCGCCTTGTGGGCACATCGCATATAATGCAGTGAGCGGGAAGGCCGAAGTTACGCTGCAGCACAGACAGGCGCGTGTCAGCAGGGAGAGAACGCCGAAAGTGTGCACAGACGGCCCGCACTTTCTGCAGCAGCTCTGATATATCTGGGTAGTTTTTTAGGAATTTCTGCGCCACCAAATTCAGCACATGCGCCAGGCATGGGATGTGCGGCAAACCAGCTATGCCCAGAGCTGCCATGAGATTTTGCCCATTATCGCACACCACCAGGCCGGGCTTGAGGCTCTGTGGCAACAACCA